CTTGTATAAATGTGGTTGTAGACATCATTAATTCATCACTTTGGTGTTTCTTGCTCAGAATCCTTTGGACACAGTGCTTCAGGGAGTCTCCACCGATAAGTTGGGTTAGTTTTTAAAAGAAAGGTATTTTCTATGTATACCTCTCTGACTAAACAACTTTTCCTAAGAGACTAGTCTTACATAGGAATCTACAGTGAACAAAAATGATTTTGACTGTAAGAAAAAGGGAAACAATTCAAACCATTTTATGTTAAACATTTTTGGCTCACCTAACTACAGTGTTAAGTTGTATTCCAGGTTCAGGTTTTGATATCTAGGTCTTTAAATATGATCATCAAAGATCTGTCTCTCTCTTCTATACTCTATGGCTACTTTTTTCTCTTCTTTCTAAGTGACGATAAGCAGTATCCACTTTTTCCTGGCTTACATCATGCCTGCTGAGCAATGCTCAATTTTTTCCTGATGGCTCAAGCGTAAGTCTGAGCTAGATCTCTCATTAGCTTATTTTGGAGTCTGATGCCCTTTATTGCTCTAGTCACAATAGACGGAGGGATGGAAAATTTTGATTGGTCATGCCTAGGTCACTCATGTACCTAGTTAGACCAGGGGTAGTTATGGAGCATTGGGCCACATAAATGTATTATTCCATAGGTTTGGTTGAGTTGAATGAATGTATGTAAATGCTGGGCAAGCAAAAAAAAAAAAAAAGAGAGAGATACTTAGGATATACTTTGGATAATCTCCATTCCTATATTTCTTGACTCTCCTTCTGAAATTGTTCTGATGACAGAGACTAAGCTGCATTAGTTAGGATAAAGGCTAAACAGTCATAATAAAGAGACCCCAAAGACATCAGCTCAACAAAGAGAGAAGTTTGATTCTTTATGGTAGTAAGTAGGCTCTGATCCACAGAGTCATGCAGGGATCCAGGTCAATGGGTTCTTTTGTCATCCTCAACATGAACCTTTCACCATGCAGGCAAACTGGAAGGGAAAGGAAAGGTGGATAGTTGCCAACAGCATTAATCCTCGTGTCTTTTTTATGAAAACCTAGTTATGGGGCCAAACTTCGTCACAAGGAAGACTCGAAAATATAGTCTTTAGGTAGGTGGCTGTGTGCTCACAGGAAAAAAAAAAAAAAAGAAGAACAGATTGATGAGAGCAGTGGGAGTGGGAAAGAACCGGAGGCTGTCACGAGCTCCTGTTAGTCTATCTCCAACAAGTTTTTTTTTTTTTTTTTTTTTTTTTTTTTTAAGATTGAGTAGGAAATATTGTGAGAATCAACTGGAAAAAATAGGAGAAAAGGATCAACTACGACCTTGAGTTTAGCTATTTGTCTCTGTAAAGATCAGCCCTTATATTCCCGGCTTTACTATTCAGGATTTGTCTTGTTTGCTGCAGCAGAATAGAAATAAATAAAATTGTCTTTGAAGATGGCAGCAGCTTGTTATATTCTAACATGGTACAAGATTAGACACTGAGAGATTTTCAATACATTCGACAACACTAACCATTTGTACAACTTTGAGAAAATTTCTGAACCTGACTTTTCTCAGAAATGAAAGGAAGCTGTGGAAAAAATATGTAATCTGAGATCGTGTCCAGATTTAAAAGGTTTCGTACTATTTTTGAAACGGAAAGGTTTAGATGAAATTCCCTCCCCAACAAATAAAAAGTAATCTTACAAATGAGTTAACCAGCACTTAAGACGTGACTGGATAGGACATTGTAACAAACCGCCAATAGAGAGTAAACTAGCAGTCGTAGGCCTGTCTGATTGGAGGGTGCAAAATCTTCCTGTCCTGTGCAAGTAATCAATGGATACCTTAAAGCATACAATTTGAAAACACTTAACCTTATTACACAGCTATAATGTTATTAGTGGCCATAAAGTTACCTAGCCCTTTTTAAAATACAGTGAAAGTTATCTGATTCCATAACCTCCCGGGGCTAAATCAGAGATATTAATGATCCACTGCATGAAATACAAGATTTTGCCTTTTTATTTGTTGTGGGATTACTGCCCTTTGATTTTTAATGGATGTCCTTTTGTTCTTGTATTAAAGGACAAGTTAAAGAAGTATTGATGCTGTCAGTGCATCTGCAGATTTAATACAGTTTTCTTCAGCCTTATGAATATCTGAGCGGAAGGTTCCTGCTTTGCACTTCCAAGGTTGCCTTTGAAGGATCCATTCCTCAGTGGAACATCCTGCTTTCCTTTATTACAGCAGTGGGCCAGAAAGCCCCTGTCGATCTGTGACTATTTGGAACTGCTAGACTGAAATGCCATTTTCAAAACTACAGCTCTTCTGCTAAACAATTTTTCTAGGAATGATGCCATATCACTAGCTACTTGGATTTGCCAAAAGGCAATACTCTTCCAATGGCCCTAGCTCTGGGAATGATACCAAATGATGGTTCAGGCCGAGGGTAGACAGTTAATCAGCAGTAAAAGCTGAAAAATGCCCCAGCTTTTAATACCTTTTATCTTTTTCCAGATGACTGGCCTATCTCTCTCACCTTCTGCTTCTATTCATGAGAGTGCCCCATTTCCCCCTCCATTTGTGGCGTCACCGTACTATTTTCATTTGACACAGCCCTTCCCTAATTGTTAAGAGAGAAAATTCACACCTTTCAAAGCTAATGCAATCAATTTCCATAAGACTCATAAGAATCTAGTCTTCCTCCGGCACCTGTGCACAACTGTGTGATGCCTGATAGATGAGGATTGAGTTCTGAGTGGGAAATGGGTCTGAAGAAAGTGTCAGACAGTACAATGAGCGCCAGAAGAGGGTTCCAAAGCAGCAGCAGAAGGTATCTTTAGCAAACATCCACACCAGCTTAAGGCTGCCTTCTGGTTCCAGCCTTCCTGGAAGCTGAGGCAGTGGAATTGTGAGTTCCTTGGGCCAGAAAAGCCTGGATTGGTTGCCTGCCTTTGATAACGTATTAAAAATATGAACCCATCTTGGAAGATAACAACTACGAGGTGTTTCTTGGATGTAGAAATTTCAGTCATCTGCCTCCATTTTTCATTCCTTTGAAACATGCAGTTTCCTTTCATGGTTTATCATTTGCCTGCCTTTCTTCCTGCCCTTCCTCTTTGCTTTAACACTTTTTTCCTCCCTCCCTCCCTTTCTCCTTTTTTCCTTCCTTCTTTCCCTGTATTTTCCCTCTCTTCCTTCTTTCTCTCTTAAAATGTGGTTGCTTGGAGTGAAGTGCTAACTTCCTCATTGCCCTCAGTAAGCCCCCTGTGCCCGTATTCCAGCATTTACACGTAGCCTAAGCTGCTCAGAGGTGTGCTGTTTCCCTTAGAAAGAAAACCCATATTTAAGAACTAACATTTTGTCTGATTCTTTTGGATACTGTGCCTTGGTATTCTCTAATATGTTTTGGGGTATCTGGTTTAAAAAGAAGCCAGTGGCCTTGTCTATTGTGTTTCCCACTGAACCTTAGCACCAAGACCAGTGACTGATAAATAGTAGACATTCCATAAATGTGTGTGTGTGTGTGTTTTTAAATACTGATCTTCATGTCAAGAAACAAATCACAGAGAATTTAAGACCTATATGTTTAAGACCACTCTGTGTACTCAGAGGGTGGTAACTCCTGAGATCAACTTGGCTTCTGTCTCTCTGGTGGCTCCTTGACCTTGGAAATGTTTTCCTATAGCTGCAGTAGTATTTTTCCCTGTTGGAATTTTATTTAATATTCTATCTTTGTTTCTACTTTAGAAAACATGCCACATGAATAATTATGCCTCAGGCAAAAAAAAAAAAAAAAAACCACTCCAGCAGTACAATTTAGACTTAGGACAAATCCTGCCCTCACTTGCATTAGCGATTTGCCAACACAGTCAATAAGAACTGTGCCCACACATGAACTGACAGAATCGAGGCCCCAAGGTTAGCAATTATTAAAATTTAAAAGTCCATTTACTCATTTTCAAAATATTTTATTCAATTGCTTCTGAGGCAGAATCCTGAGTTGCCTTGCTTTGCAGCTCCGGGTAGTGGCGTCCAACTCTGAGGGTAGCTGCCAGCTTTAAATGTCCTCATTGTTCAACACACTAGATGAGAACAAAATGAGACTGTAAGGTCAACCTCACAGCCTCAGTGGAGTAGAAATTAGAAGTCAATAGTTCTCTTACCATCAAAGGGGACTTAAATTCAACAGGATTTTTTTAAAAAGTGGTATTGCGTGAAAATGTTGGGTAATGTAACTCCCAGTGGGAAAAATATTAAAGTGATATGTAAATCACATACAGGGCAAAAACTTGTCATTTTCTCATGCTCATTTTGGAATTCTAAAATAAATGTTTCTACTTGTTCATGGAACTGATAAGGCATCCGAAATGGATTTTTGCATTGGAAAAAATCACAAAAGATTTTTTTCTATACTCGTGAATTAATAGGGTATAAGTAGGAAAAAAACGTTGTGGAACAATATGGCGAAATAATAGACTAAGTATTAGGCGAAATAATAGACTACATTTTTTTTTTAAGTAGTTACAGTAGAAGGTCCCTAAATATATGTATGTTTTGATTTGACAGCTAATGGTAGAAGCATTTTTTTTTTAGAGGAAATAGCAAGCCCCACTGTGCCTCTAATAAAAAGAAAGCAAGAAGAATATTTTTTAATAGGTCCATGACACCACACCCCTCCAATATTCAGCAATCGGGGAAACCAGCCTGGCGACCCGTGGACGGAATATGAACTGAGTGGAACCATCCGGAGAGAGGAGGGGTTTCTTTTAAATTTCGCTTTAGCAGATAAACGGAGCAGAGACCCTACCTCTTTTGACCAGAGATGTTAAAAATGACCAGCAAAGTTTTGGGTTGGCTCCTTGCTTTCCGCAATGAAACAGTCTTAAGCCTGTAACTCTCCCTGTCCCATGGGAGTGCGCAAAGGGAGGGAAGCTACGCGGCGTGGGTGAGGGGTGGCGGAGCAGAACCGCGGGGAGAGGAGCAGAGGCGCGAGCCAGCGGCTGGCAGGAGGGCGTGGATCCGGGCGCAAGCCAGAACAGGTCCAGCCTTCTGGCGGCCAGTGCCAGCGGCGGAAGGGGACAGGCGGGATCTCCGTGGGCAGACACGGGCGTGGATCAGCGGGGAGCGGCCGGCAAGAAACTCCCCTGGATCGGCCCAGAGCTGCTGGACCCTGCCGGTTCCTCTCCTAGGTCCCGGCCAGCTGGGAGGAGAAGTTTCCGGAGGGAAGGTACCGGACTGACTGCTGGCTGGAGGCGACTCAGGTGTGTCAGGGGCGGGGAGGGGTTGTCAATCTGAGTCTCTCTGGCTAACCGCGGGGGCTCTGCCATCCGGCGGGTTAGCCAACTCTTGGGAAGGGGAGGAAGGTTTAAGGGTTCCTCCTGGGAGGAGGGGGTCAACCCGGTAAGGAAAGGAAATGGTGCGCACCCAGAGATCCACCTTTGCCTGAAGTAGGGGTGATTCTAGCTCCCTTAACCTTAATCTGGGAAGAGATACCCCCTCCCCGCGCCCCGTCCCCAGGTGGCTGAGGCTGGCTGCCCATTGCCCCGGGCCATTCGCACCGAGTGAGTAGGGTCCCTGAATCAGCCAGCTCCCACTAACTCCCGCTGGTCGCTGGTAAGTACGCCCTCAGTCTTTCCTCTCCAGCCTCTCCTACTCCCACCCCACCCTCGGAAGAGGATTTCAGATCCTCCAGGAGACTCCAGCCCTCTCTCGATGGGGGGCGGGGGCTGAGGTCCACCTAGTTTGGGGAACCAGACCTACCCTTTTCCTGTACCCCGCCCCTGCACACCTCTTAGGTCCTGGGGCTCAGACCTCCCCCTACCTCCACCGCCCCTATCTTGCTCCTACTCTGGGGAGAGGATTCTAGATCACACGGGTTCCAGGAATGTCGCCTGCGTGGAATGGGGGATCTGTGGACCGCGGGTTGGGGGGCGGGGCGACGATAAAACTGGGAAGGAGCAGGAGCTGCCCCTCCTCAGGCCACGGTGGGGGAGAGAGGGCAGGGGGCCTGGTTGCCATGGCTCCCTGGTCGCCGAGCCGGGAGAGCTAGAGATGCCAGTCACGGATGGTCCCTTCTTCCTCTTTGTGCTTCTCTCTTTCTCTCTCTCTTTTTTTTTTGAGTGAGAATGTGCGTGGAGAGGGAGGATGGAGAAAGTGATTAATTTGAAGAGCAGGGATTGGAATCCGAGGCAGAGGAACATGGGTCCCTCCACTCCCGCTCTGGTGGCTCACTGAGAGATGCACTTTCTCAGCCAAGGGCAGGTCTGAGAATTCCTGCGAAAATCCAGGGGCTGGGGGAGCTGCAGCCGCGGGGGCCCAGGTACCCACACCCGGGGCCACACGCCGGGTGGGCGGGCGGGGTGTCAGCCTGCTAGGTGGCCGGGGATGGGTGGGAGACTAGAGGTGGAGGACAGGTGTGGGTCTGCACAGCAGGGTAGCACCGCAGGCTGGAGCCCCCGGCTCAGCCCTCAGCCTAGCGAGGGTGGTTTCAGGCTGGCGAGAGCAGCCCCCAGAGCTTGCTAGTGGCTGCCCGGCCGCGCGCGTGCGCGACGGCGCGCTCCTGCGGGAACGCGCCGGCAGCGGTGGTGGGGGCTTGCGTGTGCGCGCGGAGGTGGGCAACTGGTGAGTCCAGGGGCTCGCTAGGGACGCAATCTCCCTGGGCGCCCACGTGGGTTGAATTCCATTTCCCTCACCTCTGTGATGTGTGACTTTGGATGAGTCATTTAACTACTATGTGCCTCAGTTTCCTTTTATAATTAATAAACATAGTATCAATACCTTCCATATTGAGGTCGTTGCAAGACTGGAATGAGATAACAAAAGCCACTTCACCCCGTGTCTGATGGATAACGAACACTCAAAGTCAGTTCTTGTTGCTGATGGCATTACTGTTAATATCAATTAATCCTCGATTTAATTAGATACGGTGCATTCTCAATTCCCTGCAAAGTCTGTGCTTCCTAATTTTGGAGAGGAATCTCAATTAAATACTAATTTTTCCAGTGCCCAGTCCAACTCTTACACAGCTTTGGCTTGCAGCATGTTGGAAGAGAGAAACTGACCAACTGCTGCGGGTCACGTTGACTTTTCTTTGTTGATGGAGAGGGAGATTTAAAGAAGTTGTTTGGGGAAACTTCTGGTGACAAGACAATGAAAAGTTTATTCCACGCTTTTTGTGTGTAAGCCTTCTTTTCTCTTTTGCCTGTGGGTGTTCCACTTAGGGTGTCTCCATTTCTCTCTTTCTCACAGGTGCTACCCTGTGGCTTCCATATATGAACTTGGTTCTAAGAGCTTCCGGGCTTTCCATCTTATGGCCTTAAGTGTTGCCATGGATTTACCTCTAGTAATAGCAGAGCATAGGGTATAATCCATCCCTTACAAGCTCCTGACTGTTGTCAGGGAATAAATGAAGAGAGGAATAGTTCTTTTTTTTTTTTTTTTTTTTGAGACAGAGCCTCAAGCTATCCCCCTGCGAAGAGTGCTGTGGCATCGCAGCTCACAGCAACCTCCAACTCCTGGGCTCAAGCGAGTCTCCTGCCTCAGCCTCCCAAGTAGCTGGGACCACAGGCGCCCGCCACAACGCCCGGCTATTTTTTTTTGGTTGCAGCCATCATTGTTGTTTGGCAGGCCGGGCTGGATTTGAACCCGCCACCTTAGGTGTATGTGGCTGGCGCCTTAGCCGCTTGAGCCACAGGCGCTGAGCCGAGAGGAATAGTTCTTACTGGACGGGTGTGAATACCGGCTATAACTGCTCATCAAAATCTTTTCAGGGTGTGTTTGGACCACTTCACGGCAGAAGCAGAGGACTATAAAGTTTGATGTATCTTTTTCCAGATAATTATCTGTTGCATCTAGACTAATGAGTTCCCTTTCTTTAAGAAAAGGCTACAGATGTTCATTGATACCTCATGATTCCATGGGTGCTCCAATTCATCTGATGATGAGCCTGCGGTAGGCCCATGGACCTAACTGCACATGCAACCAGAATTGATATGGGATATAATATATTTATCACCTTTAAGTTAATACATCCTATTAAATGAACTGGTTTTATACACATTGAAAAAATTGCTTATTAGGCTACAGACATGTCTTGGAGGAATTGAAGGCAATAAAGTCAGACTGGTGTCACCATCACAAAGATCTTTAATGAGTCTTACACAATAAACCTTGCCTAGAAAATTATTTGCTGGATAGGAACCGGATTTCATAGTTGCTTCTGAAATCTTTGAAGATAGGAGTTTGACCCAAACTTGCTTTGTTGAAATAATTTAGCCTGATTCACTTTTATGGAAAATTAAATAAGGGAGATGATCAAGACTGACTTAAGATTTTGTAGTTTTTAACAGATAGAGGAAAATTAAATAATGGGGAACTAATGTTGTCGGATTTGAAGAGCTGATTGGCAGGAAGGACTGAGTGTATCAATTCAGGTAAGAGAGTATTGCTTCAAGTTTGGCTTTGGCAAGACAACCTTATCTTCAAAGTGACTATGTCATCTTTAAAAGGTACCTTGAGGAATTAGTGTGACAGCTTGTCTGAAATTCATGTGATCATTTACATATTGTTTCCCAGGAGCTTTGGCATTAAATGTTTCATTTATTAGAAATTATTTTTCCCCATGTTTATGACAGGCGATCGCGCAATAGGGGCTAATGTATTTTAAAAACAAAATTTTAGCTTTTCACTATTTTGTATTTTCCCTAAAAATCTAAGCAGTAATGCATTTGTAGCTTAAGTTAGACCGAAGACAAATGGCAGTGGTAGAAAAACATGACAGATTGGGAGGTGCAGAGTCCAGAATTTGGGGACTTAATTGACCTGCAAAGGTATCATCAAGAGGATGAAGTTGTCTCTGTACTAAAGCTGTTTTCAATGAGGTACTTTTTTATCTCATTCAATCAGGGTTCGTGGTTATTTTTTCAAACCAAGACTGAGAATACTATATTTTCAATTATGAACATTTTGATTACAGCTTCATTTTAACTAATTCAGTCTGAAGAGAATGCAATTATTATGGTGATTTACATACAATATGCTAAGTGAACACAGCTAATGAGTGAAAGCATAATATCCTTTCTATTCATTCCTGGGAAAATATTGTGCTAAGCATTCTTTCAAAGAAAAGACGACATTATTTGCCAGCATTTTACATCTACCTACAAGAAGAATTGGCACTGAGCCATCTTCTCTGCTGTTCAAGTGAAATCTCTCACATTTTGGTGACCTTCTGCCTCTGTCCCTACCCCTTGGGGGAAACTGGAGATGATTCTCAATTTAATTAGATATGGTTCTTTCTCCTTTCCATACGTCTTTATTAGAGGAAAGATTCTGTATTTTCTGATTTTGGAGGCTGGTTAACACCTTAAACATTACTAATGACTGCAGTTTATTTTATGTGTCGCAATAGTGTAGTTAGTTAATTATAGCTTTCTCATTAGCACCATGTAGAGACTAATGAATTAACACATCCCTTTGATCAAAAGAACACTGAAGTTTATCTTCTGAGAATAAAAGTGTTATTGTGTTACGCAAAGTCACTATAATTTTCCCAAGAAACAAATTGGTTGGAATTCTCTTATCACTGGGTTAGGAAGCTTGATGAATGAGTTGGATTGATCACAAACAAGGAGAGTAAGGCTGTGGTTGCTTGGCAACCTAAAATTATTCTGCAATTCCTGGTATATTTACCCAGTAAACTAGAAAATTCTGTTTTGTTAACGAATGTTTTTAGTCAGGCACAAATAGACCATAACTAATTGAGATTTTATGTGTTGCGGGTAAAGAATGATCCCGCTTACCTTCCCATTGTGTTTAGATTATAAAAATACAAAGAGGCATATTCTTGTTCTCCACGTTAAGAATTTTCCCTAAAAAGTGTTTACTTCATTTTCATGTAATTTGTTCACACCAAAAGACCACAACGTGTCTATCTCTTTGGATGTAAATTATTAGGCGTATATGTGTAGATGTGCGTATGTGTTTATACACATCATTGTAATAAGCATCAGAATCATCAGACTCTAAGCATCATTCGAGTTTAAGGTGAGATAAATTCCTCAAAACCTATAGTTTGCTAGTTGAACTGACAGCTCAGTATATTTAGAGCAGGTATAAATATCCAGTTCAAACGATGCTGGGAGATGATGATAAGAATAATACATGTATCAACTTTGGCAAATATATAAACGTACCCAGTGCTTTGACCAGGGTTTCTACTGGTTGTCTTATCACATTCTCCTTCCTGACGTCTCAGCGTATGGTATTTCTCCTGCAGTGGCAGAAGTGGGAGCTCAGTGAAGCCATCGGCTGCCTGTCTTCTGATCCACCTCCCCAGCTCCAGAAACTACATGAGACTTTTTCCTAAAGACTGTGAGTTTTAGTTTGCATCACAATTCCCTTCTCAGATGGTTAACTCCCGGAAGGTACACATTCCGTGTCGTGCATCTCATAAACCTTTACTGTGTCTGGCGTAGTGGGAAGCAAAGTGGTGTAGTGTTTAAATGCGCTGTTTATGCAGTCAGGCTGCCGGGGTTCAAAGTCTAAGTCTTCCAATTGGTAGTTGTGGCCTTGGTTAAGGCCTTTTAACCTCTTTGAGACTGATTTCTTCTATGCAAATAGCCATCTATCCCGCTCCTGTGTTCTGTTATCATCATTACATGAGACAGTCTTTGTAGACAGCTTAGTAGCTCTTAATATGCTCAATGAATTCTGCCCAGGAGGAAGGAGTGACTCACACCTGTAATCCTAGTACTCTGGGAAGCCAAGGTGGGAGGATCACTTGAAGTCAAGAGTTGGAGCCAGTCTGAGCAAGAGTAAGAGTCCATCACTACAAAATATAAAAATATTAGTGAGGTGTGGTGTTGTACACCTCTAGTTGTAGCTATTTGGGGAGACTGAGATGGGAGGATCACCTGAGCCCCGGAGTTTGAGGTTGCAGTGAGCTCTGATGGCACCAGGCTGCACTCTAGTCTAGGCAACATAGAGTGAGATGCTGCCTCAAAAGATAAACAAATAAATTCTGGCTTTGTATTATAATAATTATTATCCATTCATACCAGGCTCAGTATGTGAATTAACAAAAATAGAAGTGGGCAGCGCCTGTGGCTCAAAGGATTAAGGTGCTGGCCCCATATGCCAGAGGTGGTGGGTTCAAATCCAGCCCCGGCCAAAAATAAGCAAAACAAAACACCACACAAACAAAAATAGAGAGGGGTCTGTGTGTGTATGTGTGTGAATCCCTGTGTAAGTCATTAAGTGTTAGCTGTGGTCAACGGTGCTATCAAGTGCAAAAGTATTGAATCCCACATTAATTATATGCATCTATACTAGGAATGACTGTTTCACGTATTTGAAAGATTCTATGTGTAGTGGTTCTCAGGCTTGGCTGAAATTAGAATCACCTGGAGAGCTTTCTAAAACTACCAACTAGATCAATTCAACCAGAATCTCTGGGGGTGGTGACCAGGTGTTTAAATTTTTGAAGGCTTTGAATGAAATTCTATTGTACTTTAATGTACTGTCAAGACTGAGAACCACCGCCTTTGATTTGGATAGTTCTTCTGTAAGATTGAATTGGCCTGAGGCCTTGATTCACAGTTACTTTGGTGTCATGAAATGTGGTTGGAAAAGAAAAAAGCTTGGGCAAACCTCTGAGGTTTTTCTTTCTAATCCCTTTGGTTTAAATAGCACTTTATTCTCTGAAGATCTCAAATGCACTTTTCATTTACTGCCTATAATTTTGTTTTTCAACCAAACGTCTATGTGAAGATGGTCGGAAAGAAGTCATTATCCTGATTTTGCAGATGAGTGGAGTGAGCCACACCAAAGTTGAATGATGTAACTAGATTCATGCATTTAGAATAGGCCTCGATAACAAGATTCTTGTGACTTTGGAGTTCTGAATGTTTCTCTGTTTTCCCAGAAGATTTCAAATGAGGGAAGGAGAGTAATTGTTTTTGGACTAAAGTACTGTATAAGAAAAAGCTGGTATAGATGAGGATTTTAGCCTTTTTTGTTGTAACTGTACAATGTAAAGTAAAACAATTTTTTTTCTAAAGAAGAGGTACATGTGTCATAGTCTATTTAGAAACCAAACCGATGTCTTCTGGACTGAGGCCAGCCTCTGTGTGTGTGTGAGTTTGTGTGTGTGTATTGTTCAGTCCAAAGAGTGTTTAAAAATTTTTCAGCCAACATTTAAAAACTAAAGATGTCATGTAAAGATTCTGCCTTATCCTGAAAGACTTGGCCTTCTCGCAGCACTGGACATGAATGCCCTGGTGCCATCAACTGGAACTGAGTGACATGCCCTCTTGTAGATTTGAAGGACCCTTAGTTTTATGTATCATCCGGGTAAAACATGGGCTCATTTCACATTCACTTGGTCCTTATATGTACATCATACTCCAAAAGTACAATTGATGGGAGTTTAAAGAGGGGACCACATCTTTTGGACATCTCTAAGGGAAACCTACAAGGGCTGCTGAAGTACTGAAGGGCCAGTGGCATGGGACAGTCCAGAAGGAGGTGAGAGCAGCAGATCTTGGGGGCTTCCAGGTGGGACCTGTACCTTTTGGTAGAGGAACACAGCCACTGTCCAATCACATGACAGTGCTCTCCCCGCCCTGAGATCTCCTGCCACCTCTTTAGAGTGGCAGGCAGAGAGCTAGGGAGACTGGAGAGGTCCATAGAGATCAGTTCTCCCAGACAGAGCAGGAGGGACAAAGGCAGAGGAGGGGTCAGAGCCTCGGGGTGCACAAGGAGTACCCAGCACAAAGTGAAGCCTTCAAGTATTTGAACTGTGAGTAATGGGGGAGGGAAAAGCTTGCATTGCCCCAAACAGTGCAGACTAGAGAATCAGTAGTTTGTCTTCAAGGCCATCTTCACCCTTTTCCTTTGTCATTCCTCTGTCCTCCCCTTGTCCCTCCCTTCCTCATTGCCCCTGCTGGGTGTGTGCTCCTACCCAGAGGTGGTTTTCAGCCAGGACTTAACAAACTCCAAAGCAAATCTGCCCATTCCCTGGCATTATCTCTGCTTTCGGAGAGCTGACACAGCAGAGAGAATAATGTAAAAAACATATTCTAGCTTCTATGGTAACGGGTTGGCAATGTTAGCAGAGGTTCCTCCTGAACAAAAGCTTTTGCTGTAAGTGGTGGTTCTAATGGGAGGGCGAGTGAGTATGATGCCTGGGAAGTGGAGACACCCTCAGAGAACAATCTGGCAGCCGAAGGTCCTGTAACCTCGGGATCTCTGGAGGGAGGGTCCCTCCTCTTCTGTATTGTTGTATCAGAGTGAGAAGGATGATGAACTAGGCAGGGATGTGTTGGTTACATCCGATGAGAGGAATTTGTGTAATGTGAGTAAAAGGAATGTGGCAACTTTTGATGATCTGTTGGCATATTGAAAATCCAGTGTGTTATTGCATTAAAGACCTCTCTAAAAAATGTAAAGTCACAGGATATCAGCTCATTATGGGATGGCTTACCTATTGATATGTAAAAAAGAAGTAAGGCATCTCCTGTGTGAAGTGTTCAGGAGAAAGGTGAAGACCGGCCCTTTCCAGGTCTATGGCCCTGGCTGCTGCATGTCTGTGCATTCAGAAGATTGCCTCTGAAGATTTCTATTTACAAAAAGTCAGAATGCCTTTTATTATTTGAATCTTTCTTCTTCTTCTTTTTTTTTTTTTTTTT